GTCTAGGCCCGAAACGTCAGCCTTTCTGCTCCTATGATGCTGCCTAGCCTGCTGTGTTCATCCAGCTCTGCACCTTGTTGTCTCAGATTCTCCAGCACCTGCAGTTCCTACTATCTCTGCTTCAAGTTTGTTTCACTGTTCGTTTCTCATCATTACGAAATTCTCTTAAATACATCCAATTTCCTTTCAAAAAAGTTATTCAATCAGCTGCCACCGTTCTTTCAGACACACACTATTGTTATCATCTGCCAGGTACAGTGTTAAAAAAAATAATTTTCTGCACATTACATTTGTGTGTTCTGTTACCACTCCTTCTTCCTGGTAACAGAAACAGTTTCTCCCACTTACTCTACCAATATCCTCTCATTTTTAGCAACAGTTCCAAATCTCCCTCAACATTTTCTGCGTTTAAGAGGAGAGCAACTCTGGTTTCTCAAGCTTCACCATACAATTTAAAATCTCCTAATCCCTGGTATATCCCAGGAGAGATCAAATATTACATTCAAAATACTGAAGTATCTTTTTAGGTACTGATTGATAGATTTTGTATTTCTAGCATTTCCTGTCCTGTTTGTAGTCCACAAATTTTCTTCTTTTTAAACTGTTTTTAAAAACTCCTTGGGTATAAAAGGAGTCTATGATGCGTGTCATATTGACAAAGGCCCAAGCGTAAAGTTCCAGTCTTGAGTATTAAATTCACGAACATTCCCCTGGAACTGCAACCTGTCAGTTAAACACAAAAACTGCAGCCAAAGACTTTTTTTTTGCAGTTCTTTTCAATCAGCTTTAAATCGGAGTTTGAATAATGCGGATTCAAATCATAAAGGAGATCAGTTCTCTCAAATTCACCATCAAATTACGCTGGTACATGTCAATTTGCTTCCTAATGGCAGCGTGAATATTTTAATTGCTCCTATGCATTTCCTCCAAGTACCGTAAATGGAACTACTTAATCCTTTCACAGGATTAAATTCCTGCGGTTAACGCTCAAAGCAACAACTTTCGATGAGTAATCCTGTGAAGTCATTCCTAGGCAACAATAGTGAGTATTTCTTTATTAATTCAGTATTTATCTCAGACTGGATTAGCAAGATGAACAAATATTTTTCCCGATCAAGTTAGGTCTACGCAGTTCCAAAGCATGCAACTATAATCCATAACAATTTGTAAAAACATGGAGGGGAAAAATATCAAATAACTTGATCTGACAGACATGACAACAAGCAGGTCAGAACACAAGTTTCGACTACACTGAATTCAGCTTGTCAACACTTTAAACAATGGTTACTGAAAAAGAACAGCCAAGTTTTTAAGCCTAACCCAGTGTATAAATAACCATGGAATTATGCACGATGGGTTCTGAGGTGTAAATAATAAAGCCATTATTTCACAACTGATTTAGCTGTCAGCTTTGCGAGTGTGGATACTTACCAGTTGTCCAAATGATACCATACATAATTCCAGACAGAAAGCATCAATGGCTATCCAACATGAAGGAATAGCACAAAACTCATTTTTTTCACAATACATCTCCTGCTCCCAAATTATAGATGCACTCAACATAACAGCAGCATTGACCAATATCAGCTAATACAACTCAAAAGGATGTAGAGCCAGTGATCTTCCAGCTCAGTGCAATAAGCAGTCTAAATTGAGGGGAACACCCAAGGAAGACAGGGTGTGCATACATGTATGTGTAAAACGGCTTTTACTGCACTTGAACACCACAAACCCTATACTGTTCAAGCCAACCTGGACGGAAGGAACTGCACCATTTGTGGCTCCTGTCAGTTTGACTGTAATGAAAACTAGTAATTTGTCAGGTGTCATTAGAAAGGATCCAAAAATACAAGAAAACATAATCAGGCCAAATATGACACATGACTGCAGTCAGTGCCTGTTAAAGGCACAAGTTGCTTTGTCACAAGTACTTGACTCTAAGGCCCAGCCTCCTTCTTAGGGCAGAAAGTGCAGCCTTGCCAGAAATCCCCGTAACCTAGAAAAAAAACTTTTAAAACTGATTTGATAAGTGCATTATGTCTGTTTGTTGTCTGAATAAGCCCATTATCCTCAAAAGGATGACTGCACTATCATACTTAACCACAGACTCATCAAGAGATTAAAAATAATCGGCAGTCTGGTTGGGTGCTGTCGCCATTTACTTCCCAATAAAACCATTCACACTTTCACATGATAAGCAGTTGCAAAGTACTACAGCCAAAATCAAAGGGTTATAAAGCATGCAGCTGCATTTCAATCAAGGCTGTGCTCTACATCTTCAAATTCAGCTAACATTCTGGTGCATGTGGCAGGCCCTTCAAACCCATACTTGACTCAGCATCAGCCCAAATTTAAAGACCGTATCTTTCTATTTTTCTGTATGTTTGATTGCGAATTGAAATGGAAGAAAAGAACTGTTTTAAAAAACAAAGGATTGTGGAAGGATTACTGCACCGTTTTTGCAGGTGGCACTCATTTAAATGCTGTTTACAAAGGTGAGCCGGAACCAAAGACTGTGTTAAAATAGAGATTCAACCAGCAACAAGTTACCGATTGATAACTGGTCACTAGTCTACAGACCAATGGCCAAGGCCTTCTGCCTACCAATAACTGTATGAATGGGCTCCCAGGTAGTTGAACAGCCCCAGGCTGTGAACAGGTTACTAGGAGGGCACTAGTTCCCTACCAGCTCAGGAGCGGTCTGTATTGTCCACGCTCAAAAAACAAACCACTGAATCCCAAAGAACGCCAGTTATTTTTCCTTCAGTACTTGCTGTACGCTGTGATTCTCA